ACCAGGATATCATCAATAAAATTGACGACCCCTTCACAGTTTATCAGCATCCTTTCAATGATCTTCTGAAAAATCTCGGAAGCGCAGGTAATTCCAAGCATTATTCTTTTATATCTATATAATCTTTTGAGGGTTATAAAAGTCGTTATGTGTCTGGATTCAGAGTGAATTTCCACTTGATGAAAGACATTTTTTATGTCTAATTTGTTAAAATATTTAGCTTTCTTCATTTTAGGCAATAATGGTCCATAGTAGGCAGGGGGTGGTTTTTCTCGCAATGTAGCGGCGATTGATTTATCCCGATATTAAGTTTTAAGACACCCAGACGGACTGCTGTGTTCTTACCCAACAGGTGTGTAATACCCCCCGAAATCACGTAAATGATTGTTTGTTCCTTTCGTCCATTGACTTCGAGTATAGCTTCAAATGAACCCTCTATTCCCAAAGGAGAGTAACTACCATATGCTAATAATGTCTTGTCTGGTCTTTACATTGTTGATTAAAAGCATGTTTTTTTTAACTCTTCCCACGTTTTGTAAGATATAAGGTTCTTGCGCAATTTAAAATTACACTTTTCCGCATTTCATCTATGAGATGATCATCTTGCTTTTCGAATGCACACTTTTTGGCCTGTTGACGCAATCTTATCAAAAACTTCTCAAATTTTTCTCCTTTTTCTTGTTTTAGCAATCGAAAAACATGCCGCTCATAAACTACGCTCCATTTAGGTTGAAAATACTCGTCGAGTTTTTTATGGCTACTAAACTGATGTATTAAACATCAACGGTTTCTGATAATTCGACATTGGCACCCGGTAATTTGTACATTATTTCTTGTATCCCAGAGCCACCAAAATGCAATAGCGTAGCTCGTTTCTTGAGTGCTGATATAACTTCAGCTGCGTCCAGATAGATTAGTAGAGACCTTTTTCATTTTTCATACCTTATAGCCATAGATGTGCTGTCACATTAAAGTTGATAACGGTATCATTATTATTATTATTTTAGGGGGCAAACTGAAATAGTTTCTTATATATTTATTTCCATTTTAATGCTGGTATTTTAACACCCAAAGTCCAATTTAATGGTAGTAACTTAGTACCCAAAGTCCAATTTAATGGTAGTAACTTAGTTCCCAAAGTCCAATTTAATGGTAGTGACTTAGTACACAAAGTTCAATTTAATGGTAGTAACTAAGTACCCAAAGTCCAATTTAATGGTAGTAACTTAGTACCCAAAGTCCAATTTATTGGTGGTACCTACCTTAGTACCCAAACTACAATTTAATGGTGGTATCTTAGTACCCAAACTCCAATTTAATGGTGGTATCTTAGTACCCAAACTTCAATTTAATGGTGCTATCTTAGTACCCAAACTCCATTTAATGGTGGTAGCTTAGTACCCAAACTCCAATTTAATGGTGGTATCTTAGTACCCAAACTCCAATTTAATGGTTGGTATCTTGGTACCCAAACTCAATTTCATGATAGTAATATGTTCCATAACACTCGCCCTTCTCTTTCGGTTTATTTGTTATACCGACTACTTCCATTGCTGTGTCATTTAGGCTTTGGGTGAAATCAATACCTATAATGCGCATTTACAGTATTACTAGTTACCTACTATGCAATTTACAGAAGTCCTGAAGTGTCGACGATTTTTTGTAAGACATAAGTCTATGCCATGAAAGCGGTAAAATAGTATATTCTTTAAAGGCGATAAATATCACACCTATATGTAAAATGCCACTAAAATTTAGCTAACGACATTGTATTTCGGTTCGAATCGAGAGGAGTGATTACTTACATCTACTATTTTTCCATCAAAAATCTTTTTAAATAAAATTTTGCTCATAGATATATGTTAAAATATATCATTATTTTATCATTGCTACATAAAGAAAATAAATTTTGCACACCATAAGCGTGGTCTCATAGGCGAACATATAATTTATATAAATTATTAAAATGATCATAACAGAGTTAAAACAATAAATCATAATTCATAATCCAAAGTTTTTTTCCGCGGGTACTCTAGGATTTAGTTTACAATTTGCAATTGCAATGCTAATAGTTGCACATTGCTAACCTATTTTTGTTGATATCTTTATACTAAACAGGTATTTACCTTTTTTCTCGTCGCCACTTGTATAGTCTGCTATTTTCTCTAATCACTGTAGTGTAACACAGGCTCGGCATGCACTTAACTAAACACATCCACTCTCGCCCGAGGCTCTCGTGTAACTGACGCGGTGCGCTCGAGACAGTGACTTTTATATATATGCTAACACTACAAATACCCACAGGATGGTATGGCGTAGTGGATATAATTCTTACATCGCCACTAAATGTTCGAATTTTACGGTCAAAAATTACGAGTATATGTATTAAAAACACAACACACATATTTTTTCAATTTATTTAAATACTGTGTTTTGGATTTACACTATATTATGTTATACTTGTTTCAAATAATTATTTATAAAATAAATAAGGTCGCGTTCCTTACCTTGTAACATAAACAGTTCTGATTAATATTACAGGATAGGTAGGGTGTTGTACAATAACAATTGTCGTAAATCAACAAGTATCAAGAGTTAACCTTAGTTTAAGTTTATATCAATTTCATTATTACATAAACCGTTATATTAAATGTTACTATGTTCTATTTGAAACATCTTTCATCATTTAATGCTTGCTTCTAATAGTTTGACTGCAATTATTTTTGATATTAATCTAGAAACTGTTGAAATTATTAATGATATTTGTAAATTGTCACCGATAAATCTTTTCCTTTCCTCTTTTTAATCGGATATACCTACATTAAAACATACAATGCTTAACATGATGATTTATTTATGGGTGAATTTATACCCACGTGTTGTATAGATATTGTATTACACATCTCTTACTACCAGTGCACGGATACTGAGTGAACTTGAAGTTGGAAATTCACTTTGGTAACTCCGCCAGCTGCTAGGAAACAATATTAACTTTTGTTACCTGATCTGCTGCGGAGTGAATTTCACGTGAAATTTGTTTCGGTCGAAACACTATTTGTACTAACTTTCTGCATCCTTTAAGGTAGTTAGTTTATCAATATTTTTAGGAATAAGTAACATATTTGTTATAATATATTTTTATTAATTGATGAAATTATTATAGCGTGCGCGACAATAAAGCTGTCTGACGTCTATTCTGTGTATGTATACGGGGCATCTATACATAATATGAATAACTTAAGTGTCTGTCTGAAATAGCGAAATAACTGCCTTTTATTGAGCTCAAAGGGCTTATTTGTATGTCAGTAAAATTTGTATAACCTTTATTTTAATTCTATATCTGTGTGACGTTCCGGGCTTAGACTAAGGAATGGCTGATCGAATATGATGAAATTGCACCAACAGAGAGAGTCCAATACTAGGTTTAACACCTATATTTTGCATGCTATATTTTGTCCAAAAAGCTTAGAATTGTTTTGTTAAATCAATAAATTAGTAAATTAAATGGCAGTTAATGGTTATCTTAAATTTAAGTGATGACATAAATGTATTAGATCTGCACCCGAGCTTAGCCGGGACAGATCTCTAGTTTCAAACATTCGCTCTACTGAATTTATAATGTAAACAATAGAAATATTGATTTCGACATACGTGACGTTGAAATATTTTATTAATTTTGTATTTGCTTTATATACACATTTACCAATTTTTATTTTTTATTTTTATAGGATCGGGTGACAAACGAGCACACAGTCCACCTGATGGTAAGTGGTTACTGTGACCCATAGACATCTACATCTATCCTCAATAAAGACTCAAAATGTAATGCGTTGTCACCCGTGAGGACTAAGATGGAATGCCTCTTTGCCAGTAAAAAGGGTCTCCGGTTCTCTACACTCACCATACGAAACACAGCAGCGTTAAGCTGCTATTTTACGCTGGTTTTTTGTGAGAGCGTGGTCCTTCCCCGGTCGAGCCGACCCATTCGTGCTACAACCATAATGTAGCTGCAGTATAGCCCATTGAGATTAAATAGATATTAAAAAAAAAAACTCAACGCCTACAATCTATGATTATGCATTTTTATTATTATTGAAATACTATTTCCTTCAGATCTCCTTTGGGAATAGTTGTGTTTTGAGGATACTTAATCTAACCTTCAATATACTAATAAAATAATTTTAGTGCATAAATTATATTTATGACGTAATTATATTGAAGCAAAAAATAATGGTAATAAGTTTATAACAGAATAGGGCTATGGACGAGTGTGACCTTATGAAACAAGTATTTTAAATACTTAAAAGGAGGTCTCAACTATAACACTGTACCAATTTACAATGTCTTTGTTACCGAATAATACCTTTTTTACCAAGACGGTGCTGCTGCACACCTCTTGTTTCATTTCCCTCTCTCGCTTATGACAATACTACAAGTTGATTTAGAGTAGTGCTTAAAAAAGGGTAAAAGTTATCTCTACACGTATCAATACCCATCCCTCCATCCATTATAGCTTATAAAATTCCAGTGCTGATACCTCCCTCATAGATTGCCTCATGGGGGATTTCTTCATAGTTCCTACGCTTGGCAAGCGTGGCAACCTCCGCCACTAAACGTGAACTTTACTTTTACTTTTAGAAACATATAACACTAGTTTACGTTTACTTTTAGAAACATATAACACTAGTGCGTTCCATTTTATTGTATTTATGTATATTTATTATTTACTCTTATAGTATATCTATTCAGCCCAAGCAGATGAGAATGCTTTATAAATACAAAATAATAATAAATATTTATTGCCACATAGTAATAAGTTTACAAATGAAAACAAAGTGTTCACATAAAAATTAATTACACTTAAAATTTCTATAAAAAAGAACATTCACAATTAACAAATTAACAACAATTCATCATCATCATCATTACAGCCCTTCACAAGTCCACTGCTGAGCAAAGGCCTCCCCCAAGGAATGCCACAAAACACGGTCCTGAGCCACCTGCATCCATCGACATCCTGTATATCTTACCGGGTCGTCACTCCATCTAGTGGGGGGACGCCCAACACTTCGCCTGCCGGTACGAGGCTGCCACTCGAGAAACTTTCTTCCCCATCGGTTGTCGGTTCTTCGAGCTATATGGCCGGCCCATTGCCACTTCAGCTTACTAATCCGTTGGGCTATGTCGGTCACTCTGGTTCTTCTGCGGATATCCTCATTTCTGAGTTTATCACGCAGAGAAACTCCGAGCATAGCCCTCTCCATAGCTCGCTGAGCGACCTTGAGCTTCCTCATCCGGCCAGCAGTGAAGGACCACGTCTCAGTTCCGTATGTCATCACTGGCAACACGCACTGGGTGTACAGTCTCGTTTTCAAGTTTTGAGTTATACCTTACGAGAAGATGTGCCGTAATTTCCCGAACGCTGCCCAACCGAGTTGAATCCGTCGATTGACCTGTCGGTCGAAGTTGGACTTACCTAGTCGGACTATTTGTCCCAGGTAAACATACTCGTCAACAACTTCGAGCTTAGTGTTCCCAACAACTACCAGCATAGGTGTGACATGGACATTAAACATGATCTTTGTTTTGTCCATGTTCATCTTAAGACCTATCCGTTTGGAAGCACTATTGAGATCATTGAGCATAGTGCTTAGGTCCTCCAGCGATTCTGCCATAAGAACTATATCGTCGGCAAATCGAAGGTGAGTGATGTACTCGCCATTGATGTTGATGCCGTATCCTTTCCAGCCCAGAAACTTGAAAACTTCTTCCAATGCAGCGGTGAAGAGTTTCGGGGATATGACGTCACCCTGTCTTACACCTCTCTGCAAATGGATAGGTTTCATACTCTGGTTCTGTACTCGGATAGCCATCGTAGCCCTACTGTACAAGGACTTCAGCACTTCGATATACTGACAGTCAACTTGGCACCGCTGAAGGGACTGCAGCACCGCCCAAATTTCAACGAAATCAAAGGCTTTCTCATAGTCCACATACGCCAGACATGGTGGCAAATTGTACTCCTCTGACTTTTGTACAATTTGCCGAAGGATATGTATGTGGTCTATGGTGCTAAAGCCTATTCGGAAACCGGCTTGTTTGGGAGGCTGGAAGTCGTCAAGTCTGCACCCAAGATGATTCCTAATGACTCGAAAACAGCACGTAGACGCTGCTCAGAAGGGAAATCGGTCTGTAGTTCTTCAAGAAAGCTTTGTCGCCTTTCTTGAAGAACAAGACCACGTCACTTCTGCTCCACGCCTCCGGTGTAATGCCACCATGGGGGATGGAATTAAAGAGCTTCTGAAGGACTTCAAGTATCGGTCTTCCATCCGCTTTCAGAAGCTCCGCTGTAATTCCATCCTCGCCTGGGGCCTTGGCGTTTTTAAGGTGCTGGAGAGCCATTCTAATCTCGCTCAGTCTGACGTCCGGGATATCATCGGAATAATGTCGGATAAAACTCGCTCTTGGGTCGTTACTCACACTCGCGTGAGGCTCCAACAATGACGTGTACAGCTGCCCATAGAACCTCTCAATCTCACTCAAAATCTCAGGTGCCCCGGGAACGATGCTGCCACATTCTGTCTTCAGCTTTGACAGTTGGCTCTTTCTAGCAGACAGATCTCTGGCAAAGACTTTGGAGCCTTGGTCCCGCTCGGTAGTTTCTTCAATACGAGCTGAATTGAAGTTGCGTAATTCCTGCCTTGCATATGGAGATCTGTCTGTTCAGTTGCCGGTATGCTGTCAAATCTGTTGAAGAATGTAGCTTCATTTCCCCTCTAACAGCCATAAGATTAAGATTGTGATCGGAGAGATTTTGTGTTCTTCTGCGGCGGGTCTTGCAGAACTTAGTTCCGACCGCATGGACAGTTTCCACGAGCTTGTAATTTATATCGTCCACTTTATTGCAGTCTTCTAGGCACTGAAAACGGTTTTGTAACTCGAGTTTAAGGGTGGTGGCAAATTATTGCATATTTATATGCTTGAATATTTAAAACATCCTTTGAAGTTTATTATCTTATGGCATGAAATACACAGCATGTTTTTTAAGTCTACCACGCTGAGAAACCACGAGCTTGCTGAGCGAATTTGAGCTTCCTCATACGGTGAGCAGTGAAGGACCACAAATCAGATCCATAGAGCATCACTGGCAACAAGCACTGGTGGTACAAACTGGTTTTCAGGTTTTGAGGTATGCCTGACGAGAAGATGGGTCGTAATATCCCGAATGCTGCCCAGTCGAGTTGAATCCGAAGATTGACCTCTCGTATGAAGTTAGACTTACCTAGTCGGACCATTTATCCCAGGTAATCATACTTGTCAACAACTTCAAGCTTAGTGCTCCCAACAACTTCAGACATACGTGTCCATGTCACACTTATGCCGGAAGTTGTTGGGAGCACTAAGCTTGAAGTTGTTGACGAGTATGACGTTATATATGATCTTAATTTTGCCCATGTTACTCTTACCAATCGGTGATCCTTGGGACAGATAGTCGCCCAACCCCGTAATAGAACAAGTTGCTGGATTCAACGATTATCGTGTCCTCCCCGTCTCTTCTGACCTCAGATAGTCCTAAAATATCCTAGTGCAACTTGTCTATCTCTTCTTCCAACTTCAGGATCTTTTCGTCAGTTCTCAGGGTGGTAACTGAACCTCCACCGGAGATTCTTAGCACCCCCTGGTCTGTCTTTACCATGGTCAACACCGTAACCAGGAATATTGGGGCCGCCGGGGACTGGGGGCCGTTTTTTACACTGCATTGCATAAAATAATCACAAGCCCACTAAAACTCTTGGGGCTTGCTCTTCAGGTCGAAGTTTATAGAATGAAAGCGATCGAACCAATAACGCCATATAAATGTGATTTGCTATGAGTTGGCGTCCATATTGCAGCTTGGTACTACGGTGAAACGCTCATTACAAAGTGCTAAATTAACGTATTTTTTTATTTTCAAATTATCAGATACAGCATTATCAAAAAAAGCGGGTAAACTAATGAATAACTTATTTCTTTAAAGAAAAGCTTATATTACATGAAATAAAATCTTAGACAAATGCAAGATATTGAACTTCAATCTAGCTAGTATTCTAGTATTCTAAAACTTCAATTTCAAAGGTATTAAGCGCTAAATTGCCAGTGATGACATACGGCACTGAGACGTAGTCCTTCACTGCTGGCCGAATGAGTAAGCACAAGGTCGCTCAGCGAGCTATGAAAAGGGCTATGCTCGAAGTTTCTCTGCTTGATAAACTTAGAACTGAGGATATCCGCAGTAGAACCAGAGTGACCGACATAGCCCAACGGATTAGTAAACTGAAGTGGCAATGGGCCGGCCATATAGCTCAAAGAACCGACAACCGATGGGGAAAAGGTTCTCGAGTGGCGGCCTCGTACCGGCGGACGAAGTGTAGGGCGTCCCCCTACTAGATAGAGTGACGACCTGGTAAGATATGCAGGAAGTCGATGGATGCAGGTGGCTCAGAACCGTGCTTTGTGGCATTCCTTGGGGGAGGCCTATGTTCAGCAGTGGACTTATGAAGGGCTGTAATGATGATGATGAAGCGCTTAATTAATATAGTATCTAGGTCAGGTACCCTTAAAAATTTCTATTAAACAATTTTTAATTTTTCTATTAATATATTTTTGTTATTGTTGATGTATCTTTACACGTTCGATAAAAATTTTTAATACGTTATAAATTTCTGAAGTATCACGTAGTTCTAGATTTTTTTAGAATCTTAGCTGCTCATTATGGGTTCCGTACTAAAAGGGTGAAATGAATCAATATTAATGTCACTCTGCTTTCTCTTTGTCTGGTTGTCCGTCTGTCCCTATTTCCTTCTTTCTTAAATACAAAATAAGAAATTCAACGTTATCGTTCTTCAGAGAGTAGCATGATAGTGTCATTGTTTAGATGAATTCTATGTGTAAACTACAAACAAAAATTTTATTTGTTTTTATCATAAAATCAATAAAGAAATCTGGCTACGTAAATAATATCGGTTTTTGTCGGATCCATTTGAAAAACTAAGCTAGTATGGAATTTGAAATTGTATATTATATTCAATATCGCATTTTTAGACAACAAATACTGAACATTCCTATTAATAAGGTGATTTGTAAGCCGGGAGCAAAACAAATGTTAGCTTGTACTACTACCTAAGAATCAAGGCACAAAAATAATTATCTTATCTAATATTACATAGTATATAAAAATTAAATGGCCGTAATATAAACAGAAACCTAATAGATTGCGGTCTGACTCAAACATGACCGGTTTTTAACTTTAAGGACAAAGACAAAATTAGAAATTTATATAATAACGTCTTTGAAAATTTAGATTACATTTTAAATATAAATAATCCAAAGCACACTGCTTAAAATGGCGAACAAATTTAACATTAAAGTTAGTGTGCAGTACCAAACAAACTCATTTATCACCAAGTTTTAATGGGCACACAGTTTCCGCGTAAAATTATAATAGTAGTTTCGAGGACAGAGAGGCAAAGTCTTAGCATTTAAAAATCCATTTATAAATCAATTTTTAAAACCACTAACGATAGAAGTAGTAAGTGGTACTATGAATGACAGACAAATGTAGGTATTTAGAAAGCTAGAAATATATTTTATAAGAATGCGAAAAGTCAAAAACCTTATTATTAATTTTAATTTGTTAGGAATTTCTAGTCGTAACAGCTTACAAGGAACTGAGTTCGAGCTTCGATGAAATCAGTGAGATTGAAAATTGTAATTTGAGGCGCTGACTTATCAAGTAATTGGTTCTAAAGTTAAACCTACATGTCTGAGATATAAATATTTTGAGAATATTTGCAGTCTGCTAACACGCGCTGAAGCAGCACAGCGAACTAATTGTTACAAAACATTCTAGGAAATGATAATAGTCCTGTGACCAGCACTAGGTCGTATTTTGGCTATAATTCTGATATAAATTATTGAACTCATTACGACATATTAATTTACCACTGTCAAACAGAGATCTAGTCCATAAACTACCATAATGCCACATAAATCGTTTTGGGAGGTCACTCTTTACTGTATTTGCCTGTACGACGTTGTAACGGTCTAAATCCTAAAAGTTTGTTCAATTCATAGATAAATTGAATGAAATTGAGCTTTCTCCCGCCAATAGATAGTAGAATAGAATAAAACAATTTTTATTTAACATAGATTATTACATAATACTTCATCATTTCATCATTACAGCCCTTAACAAGTCCACTGTTGAACATAGGCCTCCCCCAAAGAATGCCACAAAGCACGGTCCTGAGCCACCTGCATCCATCGACTACCTGCATATCTTACCAGGTCGTCACTCCGTCTAGTGGGGGGACGCCCTAAACTTCGCCTGCCGGTACGAGGCTGCCACTCGAGAACCTTTCTTCCCCATCGGTTGTCGGTTCTTCGAGCTATAGGGCCGGCCCATTGCCACTTCAGCTTACTAATCCGTTGGGCTATGTCGGTCACTCTGGTTCTACTGCGGATATCCTCATTTCTGAGTTTATCACGCAGAGAAACTCCGAACATAGCCCTCTCCATAGCTCGCTGAGCGACCTTGAGCTTCCTCATCCGGCCAGCAGTGGAGGACCACGTCTCAGTTCCGTATGTCATCACTGGCAACACGCACTGGGTGTACAGTCTCGTTTTCAAGTTTTGAGGTATACCTTACGAGAAGATGTGCCGTAATTTCCCGAACGCTGCCCAACCGAGTTGAATACGTCGATTGACCTCTCGGTCGAAGTTGGACTTATCTAGTCGGACTATTTGTCCCAGGTAAACATACTCGTCAACAACTTCGAGCTTAGTGTTCCCAACAACTACCAGCATAGGTGTGACATGGACATTAAACATGATCTTTGTTTTGTCCATGTTCATCTTAAGACCTATCCGTTTGGAAGCACTATTGAGATCATTGAGCATAGTGCTTAGGTCCTCCAGCGATTCTGCCATAAGGACTATATCGTCGGCAAATCAAAAGTGAGTGATGTACTCGCCATTGATGTTAATACCGTATCCTTTCCAGTCCAGAAACTTGAAAACATCTTCCAATGCAGCGGTAAAGAATTTCGGGGATATGACGTAACCCTGTCTTACACCTCTCTGCAATTGGATAGGTTTTGTACTCTGGTTCTGTACTCGGATAGCCATCGTAGCCCTACTGTACAAGCACTTCAACTTGACATCGCTGAAGGGACTGCAGCACCGCCCAAATTTCGACGGAATCAAAGGCTTTCTCATAGTCCACATACGCCAGACATAGTGGCAAATTGTACTCCTCGGACTTCTGTACAATTTGCCGAAGGGTATGTATATGGTCTATGGTGCTAAAGCCTTTTCGGAAACCGGCTTTCTCGGGAGGCTGGAAGTCATCAAGTCTGCGCGCGAGACGATTCGTAATGACTCTCAAAAACAGCACGTAGACGCGGCTCAAAAGGGAAATCGGTCTGTTGTTCTTCAAGAGAGCGTTGTCGCCTTTCTTGAAGAACAAGACCACCGCACTTCTGCTCCACGCCTCTGGTGTAATGCCACCATGGAGGACGGAATTCTTTAATTCCGTCCTCCATGGTGGAAAACCGGTACTTGAAGTCCTTCAGAAGCTCTTTAGCTTCTGAAGGACTTCAAGTACCGGTTTTCCATTCGCTTTCAGAAGCTCCGCTGTAATTCCGTCCTCGCCTGGGGCCTTGCCGTTTTTAAGGTGCTGGAGAGCCATTCTAATCTCGCTCAGACTGACGTCCTCGATATCATCGGAATAATGTCGGATAAGACTCGCTCTTGGATCGTTACTCACACTTGCGTGCGGCTCCAACGATCACGTGTACAGCTGCTCATAGAACCTCTCAATCTCAATCAAAATCTCAGGTGCCCCGGAAACGATGCTGCCACATTCGGTCTTCAGCTTTGACAGTTGGCTTTTTCTGGCAGACAGATCTCTGGCAAAGACTTTGGAGCCTTGGTTCCGCTCGATCGCTTCTTTAATACGAGCTGTATTGAAGTTGCGTAAGTCCCGCCGCATGCATTTGGAGATCTGTCTGTTCAGTTGCCTGTATGCTGTCAAATCTGTTGAAGAATGTAGCTTCATCTCCCGTTTAACAGCCATGAGATTAAGAGTGTGATCGGAGAGTTTTTGTGTTCTTCTGCGGCGGGTCTTGCAGAACTTAGCTCCGACCGCATGGACAGTTTCCACGAGCTTGTCATTCAAACACACACATAATACTTACTGAAAGTTATTTTGTTTTATTTACCACAATACACACACAAATATATATATATTTATATATATATATATATGTGTGTGTGTATATATATATATATATAATCTTAACATCGCCTTCAGAATGTGAAATTACTTCCTTTCTTGAAATTCTAAATTTGAAAATCAAGAATTATAAAAATATTTGTTTAAAATCGGTTATTCACTTTAATTGAAGTATATAAGTTTTTAATACTCCTCAAGTGCCATATAATAACTTTCTTGTTGCCCATCAAGATGCGCTTCAGAAATTGTTTTGATTTTTGCTTCCTTCCTCTTAATCATTTTTTCTACAGATGGAAGCCCCATCAAAATCTGTTACGTAGTTTCAAAGATCTAAGCGTACAGATCCACCTAGGTGAACCCAGGGTGGGTCGTTAGTCTTATATACAGGGTTAATTTTAAAAGAGTAGCCAAATATTAAACTTACGTACAAATATATCAATAATGGTATATTTATTGCAGTTTTTGAAAATAAGAGTAAATAAGGCTTCTAGTTTAAAATTGAAAATTCTCAGAAATTACGCAAAATATTTATGGAAATAATAAAATATGGAAACAAGCCAATAGAAGATCGGCGGCAGCATCTTCCTAAAACAAATAGAAAAAAAAATTGCGGTAACCAACCCGCCTGTTGACCGTAAACACTATAACAACTGTCCTCCTTATGAGGTAAATAAATAGAAAAATATTTTAATAGAAGTAATTCGAGGATTACCGTTTCCTCCTCCTCTCTTCGGACTTCGGATAATCCTATTATATGCCAGCGTAACTTGTCTATCTCTTCTTCCAGCTCCACAATCTTCTCGTCAGTCCTCAGGGTGCGTGCGTTGTATGTTGCCAGGACGAGTTGTCGTAGGTGGCAACCGAACCTCCACCGGAGATTCTTAGCACCCCCTGCCCCGCCGTTACCATGGTCGCCACCGTAGCCAGGAATATCGGGGCCGCCAGGGACTGGGGGCCGTCTCTTTGTAACTTTATAAATTAAGGCAACGGGAACAGGGTCAGTATTCGCTGGGCATTATGCTCAGCGCAGGTTTTCATCCAGTCTCTGCTGTATTGGGTATATTAAGGTCGCACGCACATCGTACTCAATTATTTATTAGTGCTAACACTCTTTACAGTCTATGAGTTAAATATAAAGACTTTATTACACAATAAACATACAGACACTCGGCCTATAAAGATTTCTGTTTATGAATCCTTTTTAACCTTTTTTTTAATGTCGCAAATGTAATACTAAAACTTTCTTTTAAGGGTGGTGGCAAATTATTGCATATTTTTACAGTTCAATATTTAAAACATCCTTAGAAGTTTTATCTTATGGCATAAAATATTCAGCATGTTTTTTTAAGTCTACCACGCTGAGAAACCACGAGCATAGCCCTCTCCATAGCTTGCTGAGCGAATTTGAGCTTCCTCATACGGCGAGCAGTGAAGGACCACAAATCAGATCCATAAGTCATCACTGGCAAAAAGCACTGGCTGTACAAACTGGTTTTCAGGTTTTGAGGTATGCCTGACGAGAAGATGGGTCGTAATATCCCGAATGCTGCCCAGTCGAGTTGAATCCGTAGATTGACCTCTCGGAAGAAGTAAGACTTACCTAGTCGGACCATTTATCCCAGGTAAACATACTCGTCAACAACTTCATGCTTAGTGCTCCCAACAACTTCCGGCATTCGTGTGACGTGGACGTTATATATGATCTTAATTTTGCCCATGTTACTCTAACCAATCGGTGATCCTTGGGACAGATGGTCGCCCACCCCGGTAATAGAACAAGTTGCTGGGTTCAACGATTATCGTGTCCTCCTCGTCTCTTCTGACCTCAGATAGTCCTATAATATCCTAGTGCAACTTGCCTATCTCTTCTTCCAACTTCAGGATCTTTTTGTCAGTTCTCAGGGTGGTAACTGAACCTCCCCGGAGATTCTTAGCACCCCCTGGTCTATCGTAACCATGGTCAACACCGTAGCCAGGAATATCGGGGCCGCCGGTGACTGCGGGCCGTTTTTTACACTGCATTGCATAAAATAATCACAATCTCACTGAAACCAGTGGTCTTCGGGGCTTGCTCTTCAGGTCGAAGTTTATAGAATGAAAGCGATCGATCCAATAACGCCATTTAAATATGTTTTGCTATAAGTTGTCGTCCATATTGCAGATTGATACTACGATGAAACGCACATTACAAAGTGCTAAAATAACGTTTTTTTTATTTTTAAATTATCACATACAGCATTATCAAAAAAAGCGGGTAAACTAATGAATAACTTATTTCTTTAAAGAAAAGCTTTTATTTTACATGCAATAAAATCCTAGACGAATGCAAGATATTGAACTTCAATCTAGCTAGTATTAGAAAACTACAATTTCAAAGGTAAGCACGTAATTAATATAGTATCTAGGTAAGGTATCTTTTAAAAATTTCGATTAATATAAAAATATATTTTTTTAGAGTTGATGTGTCTTTACACGGTAGGTGAAAAATATTAATTCGTTATAAATTTCTGAAGTATCACGCAGTTCTAGAATTTTTTTAGAATCTTAGCTACTCATTATAGGTTCCGTACTAAAAGGGTGAAACGAGTCACTATTAATGTCACTCTGATTTCTCTTTGTCTGGTTATCAGTCTGTCCCTCTTTCCTTCTTTCTTAAATACCAAATAAGAAATTAAACGATATCATTTTTCAGAGAGTAGCAAGATAGTGTCATTGTTTAGATGAATTCTATGTGTAAACTACAAACATAAATTTTATTTGTTTTTATCATAAAATAAATAAAGAAATCTGGCTACGTAAATAATGTCGGTTTTTGTCGGGTCCATTTGAAAAACTAAACTAGTATAGAATTTGAAATTGTATATTATATTCAATATCGCATATTTAGACAACAAATACTGAACATTTCTATTAATAAGGTGATTTTTAAGCCGGGAGCAAAACAAATGTTAACTTGTATTACCTAAAAATCAAGGCACAAAAATAATTATCTTATCTAATATTACATAGTATAAAAAAGTTAAATGACCGTAATATAAACAGGAACCTAATAGATTGCGGTCAGACTCGCACATGACCGGTTTTTAACTTTTATTATTTCACAGAACTTGGCTGTTAAGGACAAAGTCAAAATTAGAATTTTATATAATAACGTCTTTGAAAATTTAGATTACATTTTAAATATAAATATTCCAATGCAACATTGCTTAAAAAGGCGACCAAAATTAACATAAAAGTTAGTGTGCAGTACCAACAAAACTCATTTATTACCAAGTTTTAATGGGCACACAGTTTCCGCGTAAAATTATAATAGTAGTTTCGAGGACAGAGAGGCAAAGTCTTAGGCATTAGGCATTAAAAAATCTGTGAGATTGATAATTTTAATTTGAGGCGCTGACTAATCACGTAGTTGGTTCTAAAGTTAAACCTACATGTCTGAGATATAAATATTTTGAGAATATTTGCAGTCTGCTAACACGCGCTGAAGCAGCGCAGCGTAGCGAACTAATTGTTTCAAAACATTCTAGGAAATGACAATAGTCCTATGACCAGCATTAGGTCGTATTTTGGCTATAACTAAAATGGTGTATAACAATTTTATTGACTAACGACGGAGGTCACATCGTTGTAAAGCGTGCAGTTTTCGATAGCGTAATGAGTATCTTTGGAAAATATTTAGGTTGAATGTTTCTTCAAACTTGGTTAAATGAAATATTATCTGAACCTTTGTTAGCTTGTTATATGATTTACAATAAAAGTAGGTTATCATGTAGGCTTCATGGATACGTACACACAAAATGCAGAATGAGCTTTTCACTTATGAAGGTACAGAGCATAGGTTTCTATAATTGTAAGAAGGAAATACGTGGCATCAGTAAAATAAAATTAAAAATACCAATAAATAAGCTTTTGTGTTACATATTATAAAGGAGCTTCAAGTTTAAATGTGACGATAATGTTCGTCTTACCGTGTAGTGACGGTGTTATAAATATTTTTAGGAATAAGTTACATATCTGTTATAATATTTTTTTATTTATTGATGAAATTCTTACAGCGTGCGCGACAATAAAGCTATCTGGCGTCTATCCTCTGTAAGTATACGGGGCATCTGTACATCACATAAATAACATTTAAGTGTCTGTCTGTAATAGTGAAATAACTGCCTTTTATTAAACTCAAAGGGCTATTTGTATGTCAATAAAATTTGAATAACTATTTTTTAATTGTATGCCTGTTTGTCTGTCCGGGCTAGACTTAAGAATGGCTGATCGCTTCTGATGAAATTGCACCAATAGATAGAGACCAATGCTAGGTGCTATGCATGCTATATTTTGTCCAAAAAGCTTAGAGATCTTTTGTGTTAAATCAAAAAAATAATAAAGTAAATGGTAGTTAATGATAATTTTATAGCTAAATGATGACATAAATGTATTAATAGATTTCTATCCGGGCGTAACTGGGACAGATCTCTAGTTTCAAACATTCGCTCTACTGAATTTACAATCTAAACAATAGAAATATTGGTTTTGGGAAATGGAACTTGGAAATATTTTATAATTTTTTTCCCATTGAATAGATATTAAAAAAAAACTCGACGCCAACAATCTATAGTTATGCAATTTTATTATTATTGGTATCCTTTTTCCTTCAGATCTCCTTTGAGAATAGTTGTGTTTTGAGGATACTTAAATCTAAACTTCAATACACTAATTTAAGTGAAATAATTTTAGTGCATAAATTATATTTATGACACAATTATAATGAAGCAATAAATTATTGGTAATAAGTTTATAACAGAATAGGCCTATGGACTAGTGTGGCCTTATGAAACAAGTATTTTAAATACTTAAGAGGAGGTCTCTGTAACACTGTACCAATTTACAATGTATTTGTTACCGAAAAATACTTTTTTATCAAGACGGTGCTGCTGCCCACATCTTGTTTTTTTTCCCTCTATCGCTTATGACGATATATCTCTTCACGTATTAATACCCATCCATCCATCCATTATAGCTTATAAAATTCCACTGCTGATACCTCCCTCATAGATTGCCTCATGGGGGATTCTTCATAGTTTCTACGCTTGGCAAACGTGGCAACCTCCACCACTAAACGTAAACTTTAATATTTTAAAATTAAATTTTTAATAAAAACTAAAAAGAATTAAATAACTTCCACATTGACTTTCGAAGTTAGTGCTAAGACATAATGCATCGTAGAATAGACTTTGGAAGATGTAATTGTGGAAATTTTCTAAATTCTTTTAAATTTTTTAAGTCAATTTATACTTTACTATTAAAAGTTTTACCCCTTTTTTACCCTTTATATCAGTTTCTGAAATATTGGTGGACAAGCATAAAAAAAGCATTTGCATTGACTATGGAGCCTTCTCTTTTTTAAGTTGACTTAGCTTAATTAGCCTATTAAAAGTCCACTGCTGAACATAGGCCTCCCCTATAGATTGCCACTTAGGGGGATTTTTGTCATAGTTGTCACGCTTGGCAACCGCAGTTTCATTATTTTAATAATGATTTCTTATATTTATGCGAACACTACACATTTGAATAAAACTAATTTTACGGATTTTATCCTGTATATTAATTTATTTTATATTCCCGATGTTTCGGGTGCTTTCCAGCACCCGTGGTCACGGGGGACTGAGGTGTTTTTTTTTATAGGATCGAGTGACAAACGAGCACACAGTCCACCTGATGGTAAGTGGTTACTGTGACCCATAGACATCTACATCTATCCTCAATAAAGACTCAAGATGCAGATGCGTTGTCACCCGTGAGGACTAAGATGGAATACCTT